AGGTGTGCAATTTGAATATGATCAGCAATTTTATTTTTATCTTTTGCAGTTGGGAAGAAGCGTACAGCTCTGAGCTGAGAAACTTTGAAGAAGACGAAGATGATGTTGGCGACGTTTGGTTTGGTCGTCAGTGTTTGAAAAGAGTCGTTGAAGCTTTGAAGCGTCGTTGGGATGATCCAATGTCACGATCGGAAGTTTCAGTATTGGATTTGGGGACGGGAAATGGGGTCACTTTAGTTGAACTAGTGAGTGATCTAAATTCATTTTAATTATTATCGTTTTACAGGGTGGACCTGGAATAAAAGTGCAGTATTCATCATGATCACTCGAAAATTATGTTCACCTGTGAATTCTTCAGAGAAAAATTGACTGATGAATGGTTCTTTCGCTGATTCCCCTCAGTTGACTGATCAATCCATGAATCTCCGCTTTAAAATCGGTCTACTTTTTTTCATACTGGTCCACCCTTTACATTCAAGAAATTTCGAAATTTGAGTTTGATTGAAACGTATTTTCAGCGCAAGGCTGGCTTCAAAAAATTGTCTGGGATCGATTATGTTTCCTCGAGCATCGATCTGGCGAATGCGATTCTTGTTAAAGAATTTGGCATTGATCACGGGACGCATTTATGCGTAAGTTGATTTTCAAAATATACTTGATTTCTATTTAAAAAATAATGATAATTATGCACCTTTTTTATTGATATTTGCTATTTTAAAAAAAGCTTTTCGGCTCATTAGTACGTATTTCATATTCTGCCATGTATAAACAACGGATGGACGCAACGAATTTGGTTGTGGTTGTTTTAGAAATAAAAACTGCGAGGATTATCTGGATTTCAGTAAATTAAAACTTGACTAAAGCACTTTTACAATACATTGTTTCTAGATTCGACTTTCGTATTCTGGTCAAACATGCGATGAATATTTACGAGAACGAAAATATCTATGGTTGCATTGAAATGCTTTTTTTATGATATTGTTGAAGTTATAAAGAAAAACAGTCCTTGACAAGCATGAAATACAGCGTGTGAACCTTGGAATATTGAGCTGCTTCCCTGAACCTTTGCTTTCTCTAAGACGTCACATGATGGTGCAAGTTTTGAATCAAGGGTCAGTTCAGGGCTCAAGTATAAATTCACATATTTTTATTGCATAACTTTTAGAGATTTCCTCATATTTGTGACCCACTGTTGGAAAAATAGGTGAAGTTTTCACTGCTTTAGCTTTAAATAAAGTTGTTTTGCTAAAAGGATTTCCCTCGAATTTTAATGGTTAAATATTTTATATATTCCTGACCCGCGAAAAGTCTTCGGAAATTACTCTTTTTTTTTTTTTGCAGTGTATGGATTTCATGAATGAATCGGACTTCAAAACATTAGAAAACGTCCCGTTCGACGTTTGTTTCGACAAAGGAACTTACGACGCCATTCGACTGAATCCAGATTGTTGCGCGCAGAAAACTCCGAAAATTTATGCGCAAAATGTGAAAAAAATGCTG